AGGGTTTCAAAGGTGAAACCACGGCCAACTGATTCCATTATAACACAATTAACAAATTAGAATCTTTTAACCTATTTTTAAGAACTAGAGTATATAGAGTAATTTTTACTTTTGTTATAATTGATGTAAATGGAAATGTCAATAATAGTAAAATATTAAAAGAAAAAAAACTATGACAAAAAACCAGCTGAATAAAAAACAAATTTGCACACATACAGAATAACTTTGATATGTAATTTATAAGTGAATATGATAAAAAAAACAAGGCTGCATTATACTTTCTGGCTTGAATCCAGGAGAATTTCTGTTATTGCAACTCTATTTTCTTTGGTGAAAAACTTCCCCAAACGCTGTTAATCCAGCTACAGTTTTCATAATCTTAAGAATGGCTCAAATAAAAGATATGCTTCTATGAAACAAAAGGCACAAAAATCCCTTTAGTAGTAAATTACTATGATGATGGAGAGCATCTTAGATTGAGAAGATGAAGGTACACCTACTTTCTTGAGCCTTCTAGGCGTTTTCCTTTATATTTATTAGGAAGGCTCCACTTGTGCTACTTTGATAGACACCAGAATTTAAGCCCCTTGCTCTGGGCAGCAGAGGAGCAGAGGAAATTTATAGGTAAAGCTCCTGGTACTGAGTCCAAACCATAGACTGCATGAGCATGTTCAGGTGCCATGTGAGCAATAATATATTTTTCAAACAGCCAGAAGGGCTACAGCTTGGAAAATGGCTTGAACTCAATGCTTTCTAAGAGTCAGAGCATCCACCCTACATCAAATGGGAAAAGAGTGAAAAATCAGAACTGCCAAACAATCATAGGAACATTAGCAACCTGACTTGTTCTCCACATTTCCAATACCTAATACTCCTTCCCTTTCCTGGTTTACTTTTATCATAGTATTGCAAACCAATTGCAGGAATGAAAAGATTCGGGCTAAGAAGCTTCCAGGTGGGTTCTAGAAGGCCAAGTTAAGCATTGAAGACCATTAAATATTCTAAGGAATTTGAAGTGAAGAAATATGATTCAGGTACTATAAATTATGCTTGTGAGCAATATCAAATGATGTAATTTATTAAATAAAAAAAGGTCATAAAACAAAATGATAAAAATTAATAAAAGAAAAAAAAAAACCTAGGCAGGCATGTATCTCTGTGTGTGTAAGTATACAAAGCAAAGACCTCCTAAGACAAACTGAGTTGCACATAGCTCTCAATGAGGCTGAAAGCATGGATTTTGCAAGAATAAGAGTTAGCAATTCTTTAACTACATCAGGAGCATTTGGAAACAGAGAAGCCAAGCTAATACATTTTTATTAATGATCAACCGATATTTCTTAAATGACAAAGGAGCTATACATCTAAAAAAGGAGAAAAACTACAATTAGTTTTTGGTGTGAGGTTGAAAGTGTGGGTATCTGATGATAAATATCGATGTTTTTCAGATACATAGAAGGACAAATGGTCATAGATATGTGTGTGAACATCATTAGAATTCTCATTTTGTCTATATAAAGAGCCTAGAAGCAGACACTCAACAAAGTGATAAGGAAGTGCTGCAAGCAGCCAGATTTCAGACTAAAGCACAAGAAACCACAGCAGGATAATGTGAAAGATTCAGACAGAGGCCTGAATGGCTTTTACCAGACAAACTGGGACAATTTGAAAGCAAATAATGATAGCAAACATGTTACTCAAAAGAATAATACAAGCAATTTGAGAGTATACTTGCTTAAATGAAGAAAAATAAATGTGGGAGAGCAGAGTATTCTTCCTTATCATACTTTTTCAGGAATAATGGAATTAGAAAACCACAAGAGTATTAACTGTATTAGGTATGTATCTGCAATGGATGTTGACAAAAATATAGGAAAGGTAATGAGAAACAGGATACTCATATAACCTAAGCACAACTCCCTATAAGATATTTATTAGAGAAAAACACAGTTTCAGAGTGTAGAGGGTAGTGGACACTATTTCAAGTGGTAAAAGTTACTATCATCGGTAATGGCTGCATTCCTGTCATGAACCTCCTGAATGTGATACATCAACAGGGCAAAACATCTCTGTTGTGGTATTCTTGTTAAAATATGGAACATGAATGCAATCACAAGGAAACACTCACTTGGCAAGCTCAAATTGTGGGGCACTACAAAATCATGGCTAAGAAAGCCAAGGACACTAAGGAGATGTAACAAATGAAATGTGGGATCCTACACTGAAACAGATTCCTTTGGCTGAATATGGAAAAGGAAAGTTTTACTGAGTTGGTTATAAATTTTGTGCATGATATTAGATGACAACTATAGTGTTAACCAATTTACTTGCAAGAATAAAAATGTACTTCATTCTGTACCTTTCCTGCAAGCCTTCCTGACCCTAGTGTTCATTAACTGTCTTTGTGGAAAGGATGAAAAAAAGCCATAGCAAACACAAATGAGTATCCAGGGCCACAGCTGAAAACCCAGAACTTTAACCTTGTAAAGCGTGACTAATGAGGAATGATAAATTGTCTTTCTACAGAGGTAGATCATGTGTTAGCCACAAAAGTGTGATGTGTTAAAGTCTTATTTCCCTCTGAATTTCTGATACCCCATGCTTTATTTTACATGGTAACACTTTTGAACAATAAAATGTATTGGGTGTGGTGTCACATGCTTTTTATCCCAGTAGACAGGCAGAGGCAGAATCAGAAGCAGAGAGGTAGAGAGGCAGAGGCAGGTGTATCTTTGTGATTTTAAGGCCAGCCTGGTCTATATAGTGAGCTACAGGATGCCCAGGGTTACATCAAGAGACCCTGTCTCAAAACAATTACAACAATAAAAACCAAAAAACAAACAAAGAATAATAAAAATGTCACAGTTTCTTTATAAAACACTCAAGCATTTTAGAAAAGCAGAAAGCAGAAAACAAAAACCATACTAAACCTGTCACCCAGATATGGGTGCTGTAAAATCTCTCAGTGGAGCCATCTTAGATCTTTTCCTAGGTGTAGGTACTTTGTGTGTGTGTGTGTGTGTATAATTTATCAATAGCACTATTACAAATTATAATTAGTTTGAGAGGTCCTAGGCTATTTTTGAACCTTTACCAATGTAAAGAATGTCATTGTACTTGTAGTGATAGACTTAATGTACCTTTACAAACACTTTTAAAAATTATATATTGTATGACAGGAATATTTAAAAATGTAAAATTCAGAAAGTCAAGATCTCTCATAATTCAACCTTGTCATTGTACATCTTTCATCAAAACCTGCTTCCCTTTGGGCAGGTTCTTTCTTGTATCTGTGCTGGACAAACCCTGAATCATCTTTAGTTTCTCCTGCCTGCTAAAAATTCCTGTTCATTCAGCCAGCTCTTAAAAAAGCTATTCAAGGACCTTTTTGGATCCAACCAGTTCTCATCTACCACACCTATACTATTCAACATTCCTTGACTCACTCTAGAGCACTCAAGGTATTGAAACCTCATTGATAGGGTTTTATACTCTACTTTAATGCTCATGATGATATGAAAAAGCTGTTACAGTGCTCTTCTTTTAAATTATATCACAAGGGTAGATTTTCTTTATAAATTTCAATAAAACAACATTGCAACAAATACTTTATATTGATTGCAAAAGGAGATAATTGGGTCTAGGTGACATTTATTACATTGGGTATCAAAACATTTTGCAAAATATAAAATGTTTTCACTATTCTTTTGTGGGTTTAGAAAGTAATTATTATTTTTGTATAAAAATTATATTAACATGAAAGTACTACTGTTATCTTCAAGTGAAGTACGGAATATTTGAGAATATTGATAGGTATTACTAATATCACTAATGAACCAGTGCTCCAACGCTTTCCCTCTTCAGAGTGAAATCTAAAATCCACACTAAGCTTTAGCTCCTCCCTGAATAGGCTGATCCTATTTTCTCCACAATCTCCACTTCTACTCTTTTTGTGCTATTTCTACCCATCTCTTTTCAATGTTTTTCAGTAGCCATTTTGATTTTCTAATTAGACCAGGAGGCTTCCTACAGGACAGTTTCAGTAATTGCTTCTTGTAAGACAAATTGCTAAATGGTCTTATTAATAAAAAACCCAGAGCCAGATATTGGGGTGAAAACTGAGAGATCAGAGAAGCAGAAAGAAGCCAGCCATGTTCTTACCACTAGGAAATCCTCAGTCAAAGAGAGAGCTTCTTCCTGTATACTCATGCCTACATCCTTTCTGTGCCCTGTCATCTCACTTCCTCTCTCCGCCCAGCTACATCACTTCTTGTCTGTTTGTACAGACATCCAGACCTCTATGGTTAACTAGTGCTGAGAATTAAAGGCATGTCCCACGATGCCTGGCTCTGTTCCCAGTGTGGCCTTGAACTCATGGAGATCCAGATGAATCTCTGCCTCCTGAATGCTAGGATTAAAAGCGTGTGCTACCATTGCCTGACTTCTATGTTTAGTATAGTGGCTGGCTTTTTCCTCTGATCTCCTGATAAGCTTTATTGGGGTGTACAAATAAAATATCACCACAGCTTCTGTGTGGAGAACGTACCCCACCCAAGGCTCTATGATTTCACCTTCCTCCCTCAATTTTAGAGTTTCACTAGGTAGCCAGGGTAGACTCCACTTTGTATATTGCTCAGGTTGGCTGCTAACTCAAGATTCTCCTGTCTTTGCTACCGAAGTGCTGGGATTATAGGTGAGTGCCATAACACTTGCCTTGACTTACATTTTTTTACTTTCAGCCTTTGCCATCTTGAGTCATAAAAGTATGGATTCTTCTGTCTTATTACTATATGCTCAATGCATGTAATGCTCCTGGCACACACTTCTCTTTCAATACATTCTGATTAAAAGTGACTGAAACTGACTTTATAATATATTTTTATTTGTTTTCCCTTAGAAAAGTACTAATTTGATTCACCAGGTGTTTCTCAACAACGGTAGAATAAAAAAGTCTTAAATATAATAAAATTAAAATATGGATACCAGAAAGTCTGTCATACCTGACATACTCTGAGAGCTTGGTCTAAGACCGTTTTGGTATCAGTGTCATAATCTGGGCAGGGCAGCATAGCTCGGCTGAGATGTGCCTGAAGCAAGAGATGCGCTTTGGTGTGAGGACTGTCAAATGAATGAGGATTTAATTCAATGGGAAGACATTTGGCCAATTCGCTGTTTGTATGGTCCTCATTGTGTCTTACTGGCAAGTCTGTGTATTCTTCTGCATCCTGTAAAACAAGACAAATTTCAACTTAATAATCAAAAACATAATAATTAATGCACTTCTCACTGATATTATTTTGTGGTCTGAGAATTGAACATGCCAGGCAAGCACTGTACCTCTCCAGCCACTTCCCAGCTGTGATTAATACACTTTACTTGCTGATATTTAAAACATGATTTATAAAAACCACAAATAACCATATCCCTTCAAATCTTGTTTTATTTAATATTATCATTAATACATAACTAAAGATAATGTACAATAAATTTGAAATCCATGAATACTCATGTTTTTTAAAAGTAAAAAAGTTAATAGAGGACCGACTAGTTGTTATATGTTACTATGACAGTGGGGCCACACCAGGTAACAACCTGAACCCACTGTGTTCCCACTAGGGAACACAGACAATCAATTCCATAAAGTGCAATGAATGCTATGATCTGCTAAGAACAGAGTACTACAGACTCTTTTAATTTGGAGAACCTGCTTTGCTCAGAGGGTCAGGAAAAGCTCTGTGAAAACAGTGAGGCTTTTGATCTTCAAAGAGTGGGACAAACAAAGCAGTGCTGGAAAAGGGTCAGGAACGGGACTAGTGAGGGGAGCAAAGGGCAGAGAACAGGATCATCAATAAAAACTCATCATCAGACTGTTGTGTACTAAATGCTAATCTACTGGCGATATTTTTTTAGAAGCTACTGTAGGTATTTATGACTGACACAATAGAGACCAAAGCCATTATAAATGGAATTAGCCTGTTCTATTAACAGCAGATTTATCTACTTTCTTGGAATATTTTTGTGAAAGAAAAATCTTATTTTTCCAAATATGTAGTTGAGATTCAGCCTACTGCTGTGGATATAAAAGTTCAATACCATCTGCGGCATTGGGGATGAGTAATGTTACATACGGTTTGATATCATTTGGTTAACAGGAAAAGGACGAAGCATACGAAGCAGTGACTCTCAAGGTACTGACCATGGAACACTTGATACTTAGGAAACAAACTAGGTGAGCCTTACGACTGCCTCGCTTACAGTATGGAGCCTTTCCAGGATGTAGTCCAGAAAGGCTCAATCCAAGTAGACCAGGAAGGCTCCCTGAACTGAAATGGAGTCGTAAATCCACAGACATGAAGGTAGCTAAAGGTTATGATTCAGTACTAGAGAAAACAGTTACACATCAAGGGTGGGGGAGTGGAGAACATGTGCACATGAGTTCTAGAAATCAGCAGGAATTCTTCTTTGAGTCTTCATCAGAATACTGTCTAGGCGACCCTTTCTCAGGTTGGAGAACAGTTAAGAAGTAGCAATGAAAATAATTTTATGGTTGAGGGGTCACTAAAACCTGAGGAACTGTATTAAAAGGTCACAGCATTAAGAATGTTGATTAAAAACTGGTCTAGAGAATGTATATTAGAAAATTACCCAAAGTTAGGAGAAAAAAAATCATTGACTTTACAAGGAACGATTTCTCGCATTGAAACAGTGCCTTGCCTAATTTTTATTCCTATCCCACAGAGCAGAAAAATTCACAGTCCATAGGCTACAGGATGGTCTTATTAACTGTACAGTGAGTACTACTCTGGATCTGCCTAAAAAAATCATAAACCATAAAAGCAAGAGATAAAGAGATCACATACTTCCAAGTAAATTAACTAAATTCCAGAACAAAGCTCAGAAAGATTTATAGGCTTACAAAAATTCCTGAAGGTGAAATTAATGATTACCAGGCAAGCAAAATAAAGCAGGAAAACAGTGTAACAGGGAGAATAACCATCTATGGAAACTGATGAGGAACTAACAGACTATAGAACTAACAAAGATACTGAACTGAATGAATGACAATAATTCCAAACAAAAACTATGTATGCAATGAAGTTTTAACATATAACAAAGTAAACTAGATGATTAAAAAGCATTTTTTTCTAGTAGGAGAAAAATGGAAAGATAAGGTTCTTTTATTACTAATAAAGGAATACAGTATCATTTGAGGATAGGACTGTTCAGCTAAAAATGTATTTTAAATCCTAACCATTACAACTAAAGCAGGAAATAATCTAAGAAACATGGCCTGGTCCCCTCCCCAAAAATTACAAAAACAAAATGCAAAACACAAAAATATCAAAGAATAAATGAGGTGTATCAAGTATGTTTTTATACCAGAAGACAAACATGTTAGATTAAACATTTAAATCTAAGGCATATCAACAATCACACTAAGTATAAATGGGTTAAATAACCATAATCAAAGTCAAAGGTTACCTGAACAATAATGCATGACTCAGCTACATTTGGCCTATATACAACATAAATAAATGAATAACACTGAAAGTAAAAGGAGAGAATAAAAAAGATATGCCATGGTAATGTCAGTTGTAACAGGACAGTGGCTATATTAATTTCAGATACAGTGGATTGCTGTGGGATGTTCTGTATGGCAAATGTGTTGCTCTGATTGGTTAGTAAATAAAACACTGATTGGCCAGTAGTCAGGCAGGAGGAAGTATAGGTGGGACAAGGAGGAGAATAAAGCTGGGAAGTGGAAGGCTGAGTCAGAGACACTGCCAGCCGCCACCATGACAAACAGCATGTGAAGATGCCAGTAAACCATGAGCCACATGGCAAGGTATAGATTTATAGAAATGGATTAATTTAAGCTGTAAGAACAGTTAGCAAGAAGCCTGGTACGGCCATACAGTTTGTAAGCAATATAAGTCTCTGTGTTTACTTGGTTGGGTCTGAGCAGCTGTGGGACTGGCAGGTGAGAGAGATTTGTCCTGACTGTGGGCCAGGCAGGAAAACTCTAGCTACAGTGGATTTTAGATGAAGACAATGCATAAAGAAGGCCATTAGTTCTTTGAAGGTCTGGGAGAATTCTGTGCTGAATCCATCCGGTCTGGGGTTTTTTCAGGTGGGAGATTTTTAATTACCACTGCACTATGGCTATGGATCTGTTTAAACTGTTTATTTCATCTTGATTTCACTTTGATGAGTCAAATATAAGATGAAATCCATCCATTTCTTTTAGGTTTTCCAGTTTGGTGGAATACAAATTTTTTTTTTCCTTTTTTCTTTTTTTGGTTTTTCGAGACAGGGTTTCTCTGTGTAGCTTTGCGCCTTTCCTGGATCTCGCTCTGTAGACCAGGCTGGCCTCGAACTCACAGAGATCCGCCTGCCTCTGCCTCCCGAGTGCCGGGATTAAAGGCGTGCGCCACCACCGCCCGGCGGAATACAAATTTTTAAAGTATGTCCTTATGGTTCTCTGGATTTCTTCAGTGCCTGTTGTAATGGCTCCCTTTTCATCGCTGACTTTATTAATTTGGATCCCCTCTTTCTTTTAGTGAGTTTGGTTAGAGGTTTGTCAGTCTTGTTAAATTTTTTTTCAAAGAACCAACTCTTCATTTCATTGATTATTTGTATTGTTTTTGGTGTTGGTTTCATTTCATTGATTTCAGCCCTGAGTTTGATTATTTATTCCCATCTACTCTTTTGGGGTATCATTTTTTCTTGTTTTTCTAAAGATTTTAGGAATATCAGTAAGTCATTAATATGAGATCTTTTTTCATGTGAACCTCCTCTTAGAACAGCCTTCACTGTGCCCTATAGGTTTGGGTATGTTGTATTTTCATTTTCATTGAATTCTAAAACAAAACAAACTTAATTTTCTTTCTTGATTTCTGTCTTGGTCCAATTTTTATTCAGTAGTAAGTTGTTTAGCTTCCATGAGATTGTTTCCTTTCTGCCATTTTTACTGTTGTTGATATTCACCTTAGTCCATGGTGGTCAAAAAGGATGAAGGATGTTCTTTCAATTTTCCTGTATCTGGTAAGAGCTGCTTTGTGTCCTAATATCTGATCTATTCTGGAGAAAGCTTCATGAGCTACAGAGAAGAAAGTGTACTTTTTAGCGTTTGAGTGGAATATCCTGTAGATGCTTGTTAGGTCCATTTGATTTATGATGTTATTTAACTCAAGAATTTCTCTGGTTAGTAAATTTTCTCTGGATGACTTTTCTATTAGTGAGAGTGAGGTATTGAAGTCATTTACTATCACTGGGTAAGGGTCAGTATGTGATTTTAGATGTAACAGTGATCTTTTATGAAGCTGGATGACCTTGTATTTGGTGCATAAGTGCTTATAATTATAATATTATATCCTCTTGGTGGATTTCCTTTAATGAACATATTGCATCTTTTGATTCATTTTAGTTTGAAGCCTATTTTGTCAGATATTAAAATAGCTTTGCTCAAATGGATGGAACTCGAAAAAATCATCCTGAGTGAGGTAACCCAGACTCAGAAAAGACAAACATGGTATGCACTCACTCATAAGTGGACATTATATGCAAAGAAAAGGATAACTAAGGTACAATCCACAGACCCAGAGAAACTAGGTAGCAATAAGGACCCTAAGAGGGACAAGTGAATAGCCCTGGGAGGGGGAAATAGATGAGCTTTCCTGGGTAAACTGGGAGGTGGGAGAGGGAAGGGGATGGAGGATGAGAACAGGATGGTTGAATAGGGGGAGGGACAGAGAGGGAGAGCAATGAAAGAGATATCTTGATAGAGGGAGCCATTATGGAGTTAGGAAGAAACCTGGTTCTAGAGAAATTCCCCGGATTCGACAAGAACGATCCCAGTTAAGATTCCTAGCAATAGTGGAGAGGATGTCTGACTGGCCTTTCCCTGTAATCAGAGTGGTGACTACTCTAACTGTCATCACAGAGCCTTCAAACAGTGACTTATGGAAGCAGATGCAGAGATACACAGCTAGGCACTGGGTGGAGCACCTTGAATCCTGCTGAAAAAAGGGAGGTGAGATTGTATGAGCAGGGGTGGTTAAGACATGATGGGGAAACCCACAGAGACAGGGGACCCGAGCTAGTAGAAGCTCATGGACTCTGGACTGACAGCTGGGGAACCTGCAGGGGACTGAACTAGGCCCTCTGAATGTGGGTGATAGTTGTGTAACTTGGTCTGTCTGTGGGGCCCCTGGCAGCCAGACTA